TATTATTCAATATTTTAATTTGAATGTCGGATTGAAATGAACATCGCTGTTATTAGAGTAGTTAATCGTTAGCATAACTGCGGCTAACGCTAATATAATGAGCATTAGAATTAAGTTTCTTTATTAACTATTTAATGCTCCTATAACTTTTATTAAGGTTAAAAAAAACAGGAGGACATGATGATATTAACTTTTTACACACCAGAGGCTTTTAAATGAATTGTGAATCTAAAATATGCGTGTTAGAGAACAAATGGTTAATTAACATTGTTTGTGTCATATCAGTCAGAAAAGCAGTTCTGGACTTTTTTTTTTTTTTATAACTTAGTTGTTATTCTTGGCTGAATAACTCTAGGAGGTTTTAAAAGCCCTTTAAAATTAAATATATGTACACAGTTTGGATTAAATGTAAGTATAGTCAAATTTTTTAATTATCATGTTTTTGTGTTTTGCTTTGGTACCGAAATTGGTAACGAGAACCGTGGATTTTCACTGGTATTGTTACTGAATACTGAAATTTTGGTACCGTGACAACACTAATCCTTCATAAACAAACAAATGATGCAAAAGCATTTCTCAGAACTAGTTTTCAGTGGATGCATAAAGTTTAAACATAGGTGTAATTTAAAAAAAAACAAAAAAACAAAAAAACAAACAAACATACTTTTCGACCTAACCTTTAACAGCATATCTGTTGATTTATCATTTAAAACCTAACAAACTTATTTTTTTGTGAAATGTTTTGTGGAAGGTTCATTGACACTTAGTTTATTTAACATTTTGTTATCTAATGCAATGATGTTCAAATATCACACAAGGGACCAAATAATATTTGAGGCCAATATTCATGTAAACAACTGTCAGTTTACATCAACTCACAAAATCGAAAAGGCATCTGCTTACGAATCCATCAATAGAAAATTAAAAATGAATCCAAATCTATTTAAAGGGGTCATATGATGCTGCTAAAAAGAACATTATTTTGTGTATTTGGTGTAATGAAATGTGTTTATGCGGTTTAAAGTTTAAAAAACACATTATTTTCCACATACTGTACATTATTGTTTCTCCGCTATTCCCCGCCTTTTTGAAACGCGTCGATTTTTACAAAACTAATCGGTCTGAAAAGCGAGGTGTGCTCTGATTAGCCAGCTATCCAGTGCGTTGTGATTGGCCAAATACCTCAAGCGTGAGACGGAAATGTTACGCCCCTCACCATACTGTTGACGCCGTGTCCGGCCGGAGCGACGAGACAAAAACATGAAATTTGCAACTTTACAGATCTTCTTTATGCACCAAGAGCTTGTAACACTCCAAAGAGAAAGGAAAAATTGAAATCGCATCATATGACCCCGAAAAACACATGAGCAAGAGTGCTGTTGATTTGACTGTAGATACACGGCCTTAGTCAGTGTATTTAACCATTTAACTTTGGACAGGAATGAAAACGAGGCTGTGAGGGGTAGAAGTACAGTGCGTTAAATGGATTGTAATGTTATTTAACAACATACCGATTGTTCAGCTGACAAATTTTTTTTTCTAAAAACAACAAAACATACTTTCAGTAGACAAAAACTCAAAAAAAGTTTTGAAATGATCTAGGACCTCACAGCCTTGTTTTCTTCAATATAGCGTCTAACCTGATTAATGTCTATTCAGACCACAGTAGCAAATAATACTGCTTTTCTACAATCGTTACAAAAAAGGCTAAAGGGTTAGTTCAACGAAAAATGAAAATTCTGTCATTAATTACTCACCCTCATGTCGTTCCAAACCCGCAAGACCTTCGTTCATCTTTGGAACACAAATTAGGATATTTTTGATGGAATCTGAGAGCATAGAGAGCAATGATATTACCGCGATCAACGCACAAAAGCGTAGCAAGGACATTGGTAAAATAGTCCATGTGACATCAAGGGTTCAACTGTAATTTTACAAAGCTACGAGCATACTTTTTGTTCTTGTACTTGTTTGTTTACGTTCAGCATGCACATGCTTTCGCTGAATGTAATCAACGTTGTTTACATTTAGTAGACAGCGCTCGCATGCTGATTACGTTCTGGGGTACTCTCCAAAATGGAGGAAGACGGTAACTCGGGGAGAATAATTGCTTAATAAATTAATGTTATTATTGTTTTCTTTGCGCACAAAAAGTATTCTCTTAGCTTTGTAAAATTACGGTTGAACCCCTGTTGTCACATGGACTATTTTACCGATCTCCTTGCTACGTGTCTGTGCGTTGATCATGGTAATATCATTGCCGTCTATGGAGGGTCAGAGAGCTCTCAGATTCCATCAAGAATATCTTAATTTGTGTTTAGAAGATGAACGAAGGTCTTATGGGTTTGGAACGACATGAGGGAAAGTAATTAATGACAGAATTTTCATTTTTGGGTGAACAATCCGTTTAAGATTGAGCAACATTTTTGACACTATTGCCAGCACATATTTGTTCTATCAACTAAAATAGTTCCAAAAAAAGCCAGAGCGCAATGAAACGTACATCTCCAAGCAACATGCTGTAGCAGTGCTCCTGAATGAATTAGTGTGCAAACAAATAAGCTCAACAAATTCAATGATTTACCTTAAAAAAAAAAAAAAAAAAGGAAAAGTCAACATTAAAATATAAAAGTCAAGCTATTATGTTTCATTTACAGAACACTGCCACCTAAGGGGGAAATGCCATGTCTTTATTTTCCTTTACTTTTTTGATATAGAAAAAAATAAAGATTACAAAAGATATTTTTGGAAAAGAAAAATGCTGACCTACCAAACAGAGTTGAGCATAAATGGTTGTATTTAATTGTATTTATTTTTCAACATTTTATACCAGATTATTTAAATGGTGTGTTTTAAGGCATTATTATTTTTTATATCCCCTTTTTTTGTAAGGTTTTTTTCCCCTCTCATTATTGTCTAGTCACCAGCGTTGAGGCTGTAGATGGAAAATCTTTGTGGATCCTGTTTGAATAAAGAAAATATGCAACGGTTTTGCCTTAAGGTCCTGAAGATGATAAAATATTGACCAAAGCAGCAGTCATCATGAGGATGGCATTCCTCTTATGTATTGAAGCCTAGCAGCAGGATATTAAAAGACAGTAACGCAGCCGATGATACACGTACACACGGCACTGACAGAAAATAGACTATCTCAAAAGTCCTGTTTACTTATTGAATAGTGTATTAAAATCAAACTGGAAAAGTTAAACGATTACACAATCATGACACCCATATAAATGTTGCCGTCAAACTGGAAGGTATTTTTTGTTGGAATATGTTGTGAACCCAAAGTTGTCAAAAATAAATGGAAAGAAAAATGTAGTTTTGTATTGTTTTTAATCATCTTGCTAGATTATGCAAGTGAATGCAAAGATTCTTCTGTCACCTAGGGGCATTTATACTAGAATAGCAGGCCTTCATGTTTGTAAAATGTAAGTGTAAACAGATACTTAGCGCCTCATTTATGATACATGAACATTATATAAATTGTCACTGAATTTAATGTGGTAATTTACACAAGAACAGTTTATAAAGAATTTTGTTTCAGACCCAATATATTTAAGATGTAAACTCAGACGACTCTAAACTACAGTTCAGCCACATCAAAATGTATTGATTTAGAAAACAAGACTTCCATCAGTTTCACTTGTGTCCAGAACAAGTCAGTGAAATGAACTGAAAGGGCTTACATTATAGTTCAGAAATGGCCTCCGATTGGTAAAAGAGTATCAGAGGTGGTTCCTGATTGGTTGAGAAGTCTGGGTTAGCCTGTGATTGGTGGATATCACAGTCAGATCAAATTAGGGTTTGATTAGTTCTACTGGAGGGATCTGCATTATGTGGCACGTGATGTGGAGTTGCTCGCACTAGAGGAGGCACCAGTCAGAGGCATTTTCTTCAGCGTTCGGTTAAGCTACAGAAGATCAAAGAGGTGCAATCAAAATGTGACAACATAGACGTTTCATTCAAAAACAGATCCATAAACTAATTTAACAAGGACATAAATGTATAGAAATTTACAAAAAACGGTCACCACCGACTGCTGTGCGGGTGTATAGAAATATTAGCTGGAAATCCTACACTTTTCATTCCATTGACTTTCATTCATACGCAAGCAAATTCAGGAGACGAAAAAAGTTCCAAAGTTTGGTGAACTCTGACTTAGGAATTCGTAACATTATAATGTGCGATCTGTAGAAGAATGATACATCACGTGACCAATAAGATGCATCAAATGAATGCAAACTTTAAAGCTGTCTATTTGTAATGTTAAATTTATGTTATATATATATATATATATATATAAAGCGACAGAGCAGGACATCATAACTCATTTGTCTGTCCAAAAATGTGTAAAATGTGTTAATATCTTTTAAAATTATTATTTACTGTAAACATTTTAATGTTTTGCTTTTACTTTATTGCTACTTGTTTTTATCCTAATGTACCCCGGCTATCTTTGTAAACCAATAAAACCAATAAATAAAACACCAAAAAAATGTCACATGCTCACAAGTCTAGTGTGACCACGTCTTTAAATACACAGATTCACATTCTCTGTCTTGAACTTGCAAACACAGACAATATAAACAGTGAGAAGTCCCATTGCTGAGGGACTGTATATCAGGCCAATCAAATTACATAACCAGAACTAACCATTTTATGCATGTATAAATAAATACACAAATTAACTCCCCTAGTTCAGTCTTTTCCCCCCCTACAGAAGCACTCTCTCAACTTGCTGCTGTATTTGGCTCACTGTACTGCTGCTGCTGTTTGTAGACTCATAAAAATATTTGTTGCACAATAAGCTCTCTGATGGACTGCCAGGCAATAAGTTTGAACCTGTTGCATGCATCTGCCACCATATGCCTGCCCTCAAACAGTATAACACTGTGTGCTCTTCTGCAGGAATACATACAGACAGAGAAGAGTTCAACTCATGGATGATAAATATAGGAAAATATTGTCAGGTTAATGCTGCACCACAGCTGGTTTACCTTCAACGGACTGGCCGATACTGTGTAGATGTGTGATATCAGGAAGCGTCCTGTTGATGTCTTTCAAGTACTGCTCCATTTCCATGCTGTTATGATAGCCAAACTCCAGACCGTGAATGGATGACAGCCAGGACCATAAGAACAGGCAGAGCGTGAAGACGAACATCCTTTAAGCCAACACAATTGAAGAGTGTGGAAACCTTTTCCAGAAACACAAACAGAGAAGACAATGACATGGATGTGCCCTTATCTTGATTCATTTCACTTTTATTGTCTGTCAATATGGATACATATTTTTAAAGCCTTAAGATTTGGAAAAACATTCAATAAACATGTCTCTTTATATGACAGGTGTGTACTATGTCCAAAAATGCTATCTAGATAGGCAGCTCACTATGAAATGATTTGATATATAGTTTGGACAGAAGAGCCCAAGGCTGTCTATGTAATATAAATAACACATTTTCAGAATTGCCCTTTATAAAATAATTCTGAGCATCATATCTGACTAATTAGTTTTTAGTGCTTGCTTTGTATGCATAATTACTTAGCATAATTCATATTTTATCTATCCATCCATCCATCCATCCATCAAAGCCTCATGCACTTAATAAATAACCTTACAAAAGGTACTGTGGTGGCACCATGGTACACGTATGATATTAATGCAATTGTACTGATTTTACTACATTTACATGGTATTTCAAGGTACTTAAAATATGATACGTCAGTGTTCACATCCAAAACATGATCATTGTGTTGCACCTAACAGGTCAGCTGTAATCTAATATGCTTTAAACAGCAGTAATGTAATATGCTTTCAAGTCAAGGTTAATGTTTAGGTTTGTTTTTAAATATTAATGTTTGCCTTTTCTAGGAGCGTGCAATATGTTTCTGAATGTTTTTTGACTATTTAGCACCTATGATGGCCATACATGCAAATTTATGGATAAGGTTATCAGGTCACTATTCTTTACATATTTGTGGTGGATCCGTGCTACAGTGATGGTATCAACTATATAATATCAGTAATATCATATCATTACAACATATATGTATATGTACACACAAAGTCATAACAGTGCGTGTATAAACAGTAAAATACAGTATCAACAAATAATGAAAACCACAATTGTACTCTTATATTATAAATAAAACATGACATGATTTATAAAAAAAAGAAACAAACTGCATTGCTTCATAAGGTAGACTACTAATTAACCAAACAACTTTAGACGTTGTACTTAGTACCGTAATAATGAGAGTAAACGAGCAGCTTTACCTCTCGTGCGTTCTCCGAGACTGTTTAGGTCCTTCTCCTGTTTGTTCAGTTACTCTCTTGTCATAATATTATACAATATGATGTTAATTAAGTTCATACGTTGTCGTCCTGCTCGTGTCATTGATGAAATGAAGGTATCTTGTTCCATACCGCAGTGAGTTTAACCGACTCCAGCCTCGTGTGTGTTTGGTGCAGCTGTAGTGACTAATGAGAGGAGGCGGAGCGCTCATTCACACACACTGAATCAATGACACTTTAACATAAATTATTTGGTGTGTTTGGTGAACTACTGTTTATTAATCTGTTTTACTATTTACATTTAATTTAAATGTACATCGTACACGTACAGCGACAGGTATTACCTGAAAATTATTTGCATATTCCAGTATTACGTGACTTCTTCTTGACCAATCCAATTTGCATATTCTGCTGCTACTGACTGTCACAATGACCGTCACCAATCACCATATGTTTGACTATTTTCAGTGAAAAACTTAAGCTTAAAAACAATGCAGATATATAAGATATATATAAACAGAGACATGACAGCCATAAAATATGGGTCAAAGGTAATCATCCATTATGGTTTGGATGTCACATCACATCCTGCGTGGTTAAAAAGGGACATCATATATCAAAAAAGTTAACATAAAAGTATATATATATATATATACATATAAAAAACTAGATTCATAATTTGAACAATTGCTATGAACAACATGTTTACATATTCTGCAAACACCATATAAGAGAGCAACACAAAGAAGAATGAAAGGAAAATGGTTTGCAGCCAAACTATTTCATTTTAGACTAAGATCTCTTGAATTTTGCTGTCAGATTTTAGGTGTAGCACTCATCTCCAGCTTCCTGTCCCTCGGGGCGACAGTACAACCAGATAAATGACATACCTGTTACTTGAAGCTCATTCTTTACTGCTGAGTTTACACTCTCCTACTGTAGAATTACGCATTACTGAGATTATTAGAAATAGCTGTGTATATTGTCCAGAAGATCACATAAATACATCACAGTGTAGTTGCAAATAAACTTGACATTTGCATTGCCTCGTTATTCTTTATACTGATCTAAAAGAGTGCTTCAGCTTGGTCCAGTTTGCATTTCTAGGATAACAAACTTGAAATGTCTAAAGAGCGCTCTAGAAGGAAAAGGTCATTTATCAACAAACTTAAACTAGACCAATGCGTTTAAAGAAAACCAGTGACACAAGTATTTGCTTTTTTTCCAATATTGGAAGGTGCCCTGAATTCCAGCCTCTATTTTTGTCGTAAAACATAAACACAAATAACAAACATGATACGTCATCATACATGAGTCATGTCAGGAGAAGAATTCCACTTTAACTGACCTATAATCTCCTCAAACACTACAAAAATGTTTAACAGTAGCCTACCATTAAGATACGGTGACAGACACGGTTGAAATCCAGACCTTTCAAAAGGAATCCACGCGACTGACTTCATATATTGGTACACTATTGACAATGGACCCTTTTTTGCCAGTAAAATGTCACTGAAATTTCACAAATGTGACTGAAACTTTTGGCCACTTTTACCCTTGTTCTGTATTTTTATGGGTAAAATCCATTCATTTCAATAGGATTCCACTCGATTGGGGTTTTTGCAAGAGAGTGAAAGATTTCGCAACAGGTTCAAGTTGTTGATTCAAATTTTAAAAATTGACTTCTGTGTGAACTGTGCTTCATATATTGGTACACTGTTGACAATGGAGCCTTTTTTTTGCCAGTTAAATGTCACTGAAATTTCATAAATGTGCTGAAACTTTTGGCCACTTTTACCCTTGTTCTGAATTTTCATGGGCAAAATCCAGTCATTTCAATAAGATTCCACCCGATTGGGATTTTTGCACGAGAGTGAAGATTTTGCAACAGGTTCAAGCTGGTGATGCAAATTGGGCACCTTGACCAAAAAAAAAGCTGCTTGGTTTGAAAATGACTTCTTTGTGAACTGCGTTTCATTCATTGCTAAACTATTGACAAATAGACAATGGGACCCATTTTTGTCCACAAAATTTCACCAAAATTTTGCAAACGTACCCAAACCTTTACTTTTAAAGTGTGGTCACATTTAACCATGTTTGGTAAATTGTCATGGGCAAAATCCAGTCATTTCAATTGGATTCCATGTGATTGGGATTTTTGCGTAAGTGTGAAATATTTCACAACAGGTTCAAGTTTGTGATGCAAATTTGGTGCATTGACCAACAAAAAAGCTGCTTGGATTGAAAACGACTTCTTTATTTGCTACGCTTCACAGTCTACATTGCTACACTATTGACCCATTTTTTTGGACACGAAATTTCACAAAAAATTCGCAAATGTGACCATACCTTTACTCTTAAAATGCGGTCACATTCACCCTTGTTTGGCGAATTTTCATGGGCAGGATTCCACACGATTGGGATTTTTGCATGAAGTTGAAAAAAAAACATTCAACAGGTTCAAGTTAGTCTCACAAATTTGGTGCATTGACCAACAGAAAGCTGCTTGGTTTCAAAGTAACTTCTGTGTGAAATGCGCTTCATTCATTTCTACACTTTTGACAAAAGGCAATGGACCCATTTTTTTAGGCTGTGAAATTTTACGGAAATTTTGCAAATGTTTTTTTTTGTGAAAACATTTTATTCTTGTTTGGCAAATTTTCATGTGCAAAATACAGTAATCTGAATAGGATTTTTGCGCTAAAATGACAGATTTTGACCAACAAAAAACAAAAAAGCTTTTGGTTTGAAAAGTGGTTTGTACATCGCTACACACCTGGAAGACAGGCCCACACAATCTCACTAATGTGACTGCACATTTAATCTTACTGTCTAACTTGTAAATCTTCTGAAATGTCCATGTGGAAAGTTACTGTATTGATGCCAGGATGGTTGCTAAGGTGTTCTGGGTAGTTATTAGGACACTGCTAAGCTGTTGCATGGAAGTTAAGTGGTTACATAGTTAAAAAACAAAACAGTTGGTTTCCGGATATGCTTCATGCCCTTGCTTGAAGGTAAGTCTATGAGATTTAACTCAGTTTAAAGAGTTTAAATGTAGGTTAGTAACTTGTTTGCTTGAACCATCTTAAAATCTGTATCCATTCAAGCCTATAATTCCAGTCTCAATGTAAAAACCCACATAATAGCTCTTGCACATCATTAGTCCTGACAGCTGCAATTTAGTCTCATATTGTGCTGCATGTGCGAGAGTGTGCTCAGACGTCTGGAGGGGTTCACCGGTATGTGTCTGTACACATCCACATTTGACAAGAGGTTTCAAGTTATGTATGTTACATAGTACCTTGCTTAAAAACAACAAACCAATAAAACTAAATGTCATTTACAGTTATGGTATCTATGAAATGTCACATTTCACAGGTCTTCGTAAAAGACTTTAAAAGGAAATTCTTCAAAATCTCCCATTTTTGTTTTAAAGAAAAATCAGCTAAATCTAGACCAGTTAGACCAGCAAATAAATCTGATTTCTGTTTATTTGGGTTGGTCTTGCTCTTTATTTGGCCACTGGCCGGCTCATTTTTAGGTCAGTCTTCATAAACAATGGGTTGCGTCAACAAATTTTGACTGCATTAATCAACAGATCAATCCTCTACTGAACACTGACAGGACGCCCATGAATTATGCCATTTTAAACACTCAACAACAAATAGTTTCCAGTGACCTGAAGGCAAAATCTTCTCCTCTAGTCATGTTCTCTTTGTTTGTTCCAGAAAAAGAGGTTGACGCATACGGTTTCATTTCAACACCTTGTGTCTCGCGTTCTTACGCTTTTAGGAAATTCACTTTTCCTGATGTGGCTCACGGGGCCGTTGACTGTTTTCATACTAAATGAGTGAAACAGTTGGATAATTAACTTGAACAGTTTCCATATCTATGTTCGGCAGAGACAAAGCAGTCATGAGGACTGGAAACAATGGCCTAGGCTGTCTTTATCATGAGATAATAAACATCAATCACTCTTATCATCATGCCCAGGTTACAAATATTGTCTATAGTTGTCAACGCGGTGCAGTGTTTTGAAAATAACTATGAGAAGTTTCCATATGGCAGCATTATTTATTAGTAAGTTTGTCTGAGAATTGAGACCATGACCTTATCAAGCTATCGAGTTTTTCGTCTTAAATCGAAACGGTTTTGACCAAAATGTACAATCTAGTGGGTGAAAAACACAGGCTTTGTCATCTGGGCCTGCACTTTATTGTCTGCTTTTGTTCAATGGCATTAACATTAAATCTAGAGTCAATAAAGTCATATATAATGAAGATTAAACCTTTATATTGAGCGCCGTTCTGAGTAAAATCCTGCACCATCCTTACCTACTTCATGAATTGTTAAGTTTGAAATAGATCTCTGGTATCAAATTGCACAATATGTTTAAGCAGAAGGAGACATCTGGTGGTTGTAAGAAGATCATGCATCCAAATATTTTTAATCACCACATGTTGTTTTATTAGAGAAGGGGAATGCTGAAAATTACGTTGCATTTAGTAGTTTAACAAAGAAATATTCAATTCAACAATCTGAAATAGAATGTTGTCAAAATGAAGTGTGCTAAACCAGTTTATTATACTGCAATTACAAGCCTGGAAGAAGGAAACAATTTGGTGCTAGAGCAGATAATAAATTAGCTTGCTTGTCCATGAATAAGACATAAAGAATACATGTTTTCTTTTTGCATTGATATGATTCTGAATAGCAGACGAGATCGCAAAGGGATACATAAGGAGTGTGTGTTGTATTAGGAAATAATGCATCTGCTACACATTCAGTAGCAAACATACCGGTGTGTATAAATGAATGTGTGAAATGAGTTGGTAGTGTTGTCATGCCATATAATCAAGTCAAGTTGGCCATTAAAAAAAAAAGGTATAAGTCAAGGTACATGGCAAGTAATGTTTAGTGATTAATGTTAAGTAAGATGATACAATGATAAACACAGGTCTACCTAATGTCCATGTGGTTGGAGGAACCAATGCTGGTAAAGGCTCCATGCAAATGGATAATCCAAAAAAAAATCATGTTTAACAACCTCACTTAAACCTTCCTGAAATACATCCATACAAAACAAGTGTGCATTTAAAATAAAATGTGTTCAAAAAGGGTTTACTCATTTGGAATACGGACTGGAAAATTTACCAACAGATCTTCAATGAGATGTACAGCTTGATTGTGTTATAACATGTAAAACCTGTGCTTTTTGTGAAATTGAAATTCCATAATCTGTTGTAAAAAAAAAAAAGTTGATTATTTAAAGAATTCCACTGAGTAACAGCACAGGTACAACCAACTTTACACAGCAGCTGC